CAACCCACCCAAGGACACCATATCATTGTTTATAGTTTTGGGATGTGTGTAATTTTTGTTTTTAAATTTGTTGTTTATAGTTCCTAATAAATCTGCTCAGTTTGAAGTCAAACTTTCCCATTGTATGGTTTATTTTAATGGGAACACGTATAGAGGTCTGGGAGAACATGGGAAACAACATCAAAACAGTTGTATTTTGATGGAATGTACACATATAGTGATATGTTAGTGAAATTAAATGCCTTTTGCTGTCTGGTACCTGATAAAAGTGAAATGGCACTGATGGTGCCCAAATCTACCCAAATGTCTCCATTTGGTAATCCGCCTAAACATACTTCAACTAAAACCCCTACAATTTTGGTTTACTTTACTTTATTGGCATCAAACTTCACATAAGTACTCATCAGATATTGGGCTATGGTCCCATAGTGTTTAGGGGCTGCAGCTGCATAAGTCCAATAAATTATTCCCTATAAAACCTGAAGTTACTTTCAGGCGGAATCAAAACCTCCCAATTTATGCTGTGTTCTAGCTTCATGTACTCTGACACAGTAATACCCACATTAATTATTTCACTTCAAGATACATCTCACGTGTTACCTTTCTTTTGCTACCAAGATTATGTTGATAGCCCTTGTCGTTTTGGAGATATTTTCGAGGCAGGCACTTTAGCCAGTCTAAGGCACTGCATCGCAGTGCTAGCTGTGCCACTAGAGATCCTGGTTCGAAACCAGGCTCTGTCATAGCCTGCCGCGACCGGGAGACCCATGGGGCGGCGCACAATTGGCCCAGCGTCGTCCAGGGTAGGGGAGGAAATGGCCGGCAGGGATGTAGCTCAGTTGGTAGAGCATGGTGTTTTGCAACGCCTGGGTTGTGGGTTCGATTCCCACGGGGGGTTCGATTCCTAACTGTAAGTCGCTCTGGATAAGAGCGTCTGCTAAATGACTAAAATGTAATGTAAAATGTAGGTTAAGGAGACGGGCAAACTGCTGGGGAATCATCTCGCATATCTTCAGGGAGAAAGGATCAATTCCCTTGGACTGAGGCCCCCCTCTGGTCTGAAATAGCCCCTGCCTCTCCTCTGCCGCATCATTTTTGGCTTTCGCTTTTAAATTTTTCCAGCACGCCTTCATCCGATTTGGGTCCCTCTTCTCTTTAATCCATGTCGATCCATTAAATCTGTCGCGTAAAATGGCCCAGGTGTCTTCCTTCTTTTTGACAGTCTTTTTATTCTCCAGTACGTTACTAAATTCCTCCATCAGCTCCGACAATAGGTTTTTTTCATTAGCGGAGAAATTTGAACTTCTTTGACCTGCCATGATCAGGTGGCTAGCAGACAAATAATAAATGACTAAATAACGTTAAGTAATGACAATAATAAATTATATTTTATGCCACCTAGCTTGGTTTATAAACTAGCTAGCTACAGTAGCTAACGTTAGCTAACGAATTAGTTTTCTGTCTAGTACTGGTAAATAACAGATTTTATTTCAAATCAGCCAACCCATGAGAACCTTTCACGATGGAGTTGCAGTAGTTCTAACGTTACATTGTTATTGTTTTATCAAGGAACAGCAACTGTGTGGCCTCTTTTGTCAAGTAGGCTAGCTACTTCGTTTCAACTCACATGTCACTAATCATAGTTTAAAGCCGTTAATCATACATTTACTGATCCAGATTCAAAATTAAGTGGTGCAACACATCTCTGATTAATTATAACCCTAGATTTACAAAATCTAGATTAGCTCTAATCCTAGATTAATTTAAACCATGTTGGTGCAAGCCACCCTAAGTGAGTACTATTTTCATAGTAATGTATTGAAACAGGCAGGGAGCAGGTCTCGAACCCTCATCATTCTAGCCCTAAATCCAGCGCGCCGTCGACTGTGCCCCAAAAGCATGCTAGCATGGCAGAGTCGATATCCGCCCATATAAACCCAGGGTCGTTGCACAACCTCCTTTTAAAGTGCGCGTCCTCGCGCTAGTGTACAACTCAACGTTTTACAGGAAAGCGCTCAACCGCCAAGCACACGCACGTTCGTAGATGCAAGGTCCGATCACTTCTGACACCAGTGTAATGAAAGAGACAGGGAGCAGGTGTCGAACCCTCAACCTTCTCGCCCGAAGTCCAGCGCGCCATCGACTATGCCCCAAAAGCAGGCTCGCGTGGCAAAGTCGATATCCGCGCTTATAAACCCAGGGTCGTTACAGTATGTTAAAAATAATACACTATGGCTGTTAAGACAATTATACTTTGACCGTTGCCTCCTATTTTATTGTGATGATTGTTTTTGATTATAATTATTTGGTGGAGGTCGCTAGATACAGTATAGCCTAGCTTTTAGCTAGCTAGCTGCTCTATACGTTAACTTGCTAGAAAGTTATAGAAAGAAGTTGAGGAAAAAGTAACTAAACGTACTGTTTTATTATCAACTAAAACAATATGTTTATCCTGTCGAATGAAAAGGTCATAGTTTTGCCATCTCCCAAAATAAATGCGATCTCTGACGAGAGACTAGGCTCTCCTCCACCTTGTCTTGAGTTGTGAAACCCTATCCTATGCTCTCGGTCCAGTAGCGGAACGAGATTGTATGAAGTTGAAGTACGACATAATGAAATACATCACGATGTAAATGGAGGATCACGCTTGATCTGATTGAATCTAGACCTTAGTTCTACATTTAAGATATTAACAATTTAGTTTCTATAGTGTCACAGAAGCCTCGTTTATACCTGCCGCTAACATGCGTCCTTTGTCCTGATCTTGTCCACATTCTGATTGTGCCCACACTTTCATATATATGTGTCTCATATCCATCCACTGTGTCCATATTGTGACCTGATTTCCTGGTCCTTCCCTGTATGCAAATTATTTGACACATATTCTTTCAAAATAATATGTATTTATTTATTTTAAGACATATTGATGCCATAAGTCAATGGTGCCACCTGTCAATGATTTAGAGGGTGGGATAATGATGGTTTAAATGGTTTCACTGTCCAGATCCATCTATACTTGTAAGATATCCAGACACAATGCCTGTCTGACTACCTCAGAAGGTTGTCAGGAAGACCTGATCACAATCAGATCACAATGATTATTTTAATAATCTACACCTGTCTAAAAATGTGGACACAATCAGAATGTGGACAAGATCAGGACAAAGGACCTTAGAACCAAGTATAAACGGAGCTAGAATCACTGTGGTCTGGGGCCTCCCGAGTGGCGCAGCAGTCTAAGGCACTGCATCGCAGTGCTTGAGGCGGCACTACAGACCCGGGTTTGATCCCAGGCTGTGTCACAACCGGCCGTGACCAGGAGTCCCATAGGGCTGCGCACAATCGGGTTAGGGGAGGGTTTGGCCGGGGGGGGGCCTTTACTTGGCTCATCGTGCTCCAGCGACTCGTGGTGGGCCGGGCGCTTGCAGGCTGACTTCGGTCATCAGTTGAACGGTGTTTCCTCTGACACATTGGTGCAGCTGGCTTCCGGGTTAAGCGGGCGGGTGTTAAGAAGCGCGGTTTGGCGGGTCATGTTTTGGAGGACGCATGATTTGACCTTCGCCTCTCCCGAACCCGTTGGGGAGTTGCAGCGATGAGACAAGATCGCAATTGGATATTACGAAAAAGGGGGTACAAAAAAATTATATATATATATAATCATGGCGGTCCAGCATACAGAGCCCCAGGGAGGAAAGAAAAACACTTGACAAGGAAATCAGATCTCTCTCAGGAGTTGGTGTTGTACAAGTTACTGGTGTACAATTACCTTCCAATTAAACAACTGTAAGCATTTCTAGTATATGCAATTTCACTCACAGCACATAGCTTCTTAAAGAGAGAGTAGGTTTGAAGTTTATTTTTTAATGAAAATATATTAAACATATATTTTCCAGTTATGCAATGTCCTTAACATATATATTTCAAATCTTAAAACACCGATTTGAGACCAGAATAACATTACCACAAATACCAGTCAGCTTTGTTTTCAATGAATTATTTTTACTTGATAGGAGTTTCACCTATATCCACAACAACATGTTGCAGTGCTTTATAGTACAATATGCCAATCAGGTTTTAGAAAACTGGACAATGGAAACTGGAGTGGCAGCAGATTCCTCTGCTTCATGTGGAGATGTCTCCAGGACTCAAGAACTAGTAAAACACACCCACTGGCCAAGCTAACTCACATACCTCTGGTACAGCTATTGGAAGTGGGGATATGATACAGCTGCTGCGAAGTCATTTGAATAGTGTCAAGAATAGTTACTGTTAGGCAAACAGACATTACCATCAATATCTTGTATGTGTGTGTGTGTGTGTGTGTGTGTGTGTGTGTGTGTGTGTGTACACATCCATTTGGTAAAATGCAGAGATGGAGCTCACAAATGACCACTCCCTAATTTGCTCATCAATTTACAAGGGTGTTGAGTGTATGCTAATGAAACAAATGCACTTCTCACACCTTTACCCCCATGGCGGGTTTCCCTGGCCTGCAGGGTGCAGCGGTGCTGTCCAGGAAGTGCTAGGGGGAGGGAAAGCACAGTTATTCCTGTATGAGGTGAGCAGAGAGCCTGGTCTGGAACACAGGCGACTTCTAGAACAGTGGAGCCACAGAGGAGTCCAAACCAACCCATTTTAGATCACAGCGAGCATGCAGGACTATGAGAGAGTCTGGGAGAGTATGGTGGATACAACAAGCACTCTAGGAGCAGCAGACAGACGGATAAAGCTGTGTGCTTTTGAAGAACAAGGGAAGTTGAAATGCTGACAAAAAAAACAACATCAATTCATATTTTTTTGAGCCTCAGATTTTTTACCTCCAAATCAGGTTTGTTCTTTTCATTCTTACTTCTATCTCAAAGAAAGAGATGATATTATAAGACAGTCTTCTAATTGGGGCATTTTAATTAGCATGTAGAGCTACTCACATGATTTCTGTCCCATGACAGCAGTATATCTGAGAATGTTATTAACTGTCAGGGAAACCTCTCCCTCCCAGCCCCTACCCAGAATGCCTTGCACTCACAACACTATCCCCAGCCTCCTTTGACAGCTCCAAGGAAAGCTATTCATTTTCTGTCAACATATCCTCCAGCTCACCTGACAAGTACATTACTTTTACAAAATCCACCATATTTGATAATCTGGGATGAAAAACAGCATTAAGTACTACATACATTGTGTTTGAAATTTAAACATCCTTAATCAACGCATTATAACAATAATGATAAGAATTATAATAAGCAAAGCAATAATTACAGTATAGCAATAATCATAATGGCCATTGTCTAAAAACTACATAATGTTTTCCATAAGGTCTCAAAAACATATATATATATATATAGTGGAAGTTCATTTTCTTTCACTTTTTTTCTGGCTAATAGTAACTTAAATATTTACAATGATTAATTTACAACCAATGGCCCAGCCCAGTCAGATAGTTGTCCTATTTTAAAATGAAAAGCACAAGAGGAGGAAGAAGGGTCCATGTGTCTGTGACAGTGGCCCACTGGGTGGGTGCCGTGTGTCCCAGTGTGGACTCCCCATATCAGTGTCTCAGGACAGGAGGCTCACATGGCCACCAGCTTGCCCAGAGCCATGCGGAACTGCTGTGTGCAGCCGGCCAGCTCCCGCACCCTCTCGGTCATGTCGCGCGCCGCACCGGGGGACGGGTACTGCAGCGCTGCAGTCTTGGTGCTCACCACGATGTCCTTGAGTTTGTCACACAGCATGTTACTATGCTGGGCCACATGTGCCCGCACCTCTGGGGACTTGGCCTGCCGCGAGAGTGTGTCCCCGATGAACACCAGCTTGTGTGCACTGAGGATGACAAACTTGCTGTGGGCCACAAAGATCTTGGGCGGCTGGTTGTTGTTGATGGAGGAGTAGAAGGCGTCGATGGCGTTGGTGAGGGTGGTGACGTTGGCCTCACACTGCTCCGAGTAGAAGAGCAGCAGCTGCCGGTCGCCCATGCTCAGCTTGCTCCGCTGGGCCGTTGGGTAGTGGGGAGGCGGAGTCCAGCCTGAGATATCGTTGTTGATTGGCCGGCTGACTTCTTGCTCCAGTCGCTCAAACTGTTTCAGCTGCAGTAGATGGGAACACAGAGAGAGTAAATAAATATCTGCCTGATCTGTAAACATCCCATATGAACTGACTGAACCCTCAGCCTCTAAAACACCAATGTAACACTACAGTCACATATAATGTCCTTCCAAACACTCCCTTATTACTCACAAAGGCTGCATTTAGAGAGGCAGACCAATTCTGATCTTTTTTTCACCAATTGGTCTTTTGACCAATCAGATCAGATCTGAAAAAGATCTGATGTGAAAAGATCTGGGCCCGGTTTCCCAAAAGCATCTTAAGGCTAAGTTCATCGTTAGAACCATTGGATCCTATTGTTCTAAGATGAACTTAGCCTTAAGATGCTTTTGGGAAACCGGCCCTTATATGATTGGTCAAAATACCAATTAGTAGAACAAATATCAGAATTGGGCTGCCTGTCTAAACGCAGCCATTTACACATCCACTCGCTCACTGACAGACCCACAGATCCTCACCTGCTGCTGTTCCAGTGTGGTTTTGTTGTGTCTGGTCCCTTTCTCTAATAATTGCCTCTGATTCTTCTCAAACTCCTCCTTACCCTGGAAATCAAAGGACAGAAAGAAAAGTAATCGTACTTACTGCTCCAAGCACATAGACACAAACACGCTCAGACAATGCTGGGATGGAATTTTAATTCTACTGGTTTAAGGGAGGATTACCCATATAAAATGATCCGTCTGACACAATGTGTGATAATTCTCCTAATCAGCAGGTGGCAGTATGAGCTCAATTCAAACCAGACCACTCACTGCAGCTCTGCCACTACTCTGAGGGTAGGTGACATGAATTCAGGGTTTGTATGTTAGTGTGCTACACACACATAAAGCACTGAAACATTTAATATATAAATGTTTTTTAGATAATAATAATTTGGTGAGTGCTTATATTTGTCCTATTTCACACATGAACAAGTGTGTATTAATATGTATGAGTGAATTGTTATCCCTGGAGCAATTAAGTACCTTGCTCAAGGGCACATCGACAGATGTTTCACCTTGTCGGCGTCGGGGTTCAAACTTGCAACCTTTCGGTTACTGGCCCAAAACTCTTACCGCAAGGCTACCTGCCGCCCACAATAATATAATATTGTCTTAACATCATCTGTTCCTCTTGCATTTTCACAAGAATACTGCTGCACATGAGGGCAACAACAGCAGCAATGAACAGAGAAAGTGATGATGTATGATGGGTATGTAGAGAAACACGCTTGCACATGCAGTAATGGTGATTGATAATGACACCTGAAGCAGTGCGCTAGGGGAGTATGTGTAGCCCACATGGGGAAGCCTTGTATGGGCCATTGATTAGTCTGCTGGCTGTGGTGTGGAAATGGAGATACACCTGGAGTCTATCTTCTCTCTCATCTCACACACCAGAGTATCATTGAACACAGACCGACACCATGGCTCGACATGCTTAACATAATCCATGGGCTAATGTAGAGTGCTGCTGATTGTTCCAAACCACAATATCGTTATGAGAAAGTACCGGTGCTGTTGATTCAGAATACTAACATACACCAAACTAATTCTCTACTGATAATTGAGGACATAAACGCATGTGTGATGATCTGTGCTGTGGTTTCATATGAGGAGGTTTTACCTGTAAATGCACATAGTCATAGTCCTCCATCCAGCCCTCCTCTGTGGTCTCGTACGGCCGGTCAGGGGTCTCCTCCTCGGCCGTGAGCTTGGGCGGGGACGGTAGGGGGCGGGATTGGATGTTGGCTCTACCGTCTCCCATCTGATAGGCTGAGATGTTGTTGTTGGTTATCTGACCCATGAGATCAGCGGCGTGGGGGACGGGGGGAAGAGGGAGCTGCTGCTGCTTGTTTGTCCTTTTGAAGAGCAGCGAGGCGTTGCCATGGAGAAAGGAGGCTAGCTGTTTGGTGTCGTCAGGCACGCCCCGGGCACACATGACCAGCCGGTCCAGGTCATCCCCACTGCTGCCTGCCGAGGGCGCCATCAGGGCAGAGGGGGCCCAGGCCACAGCATCCAGAGCCTGGCTGTACTTGACCAGGCCCTGGAAGGCCTCCTCCATCTTCTGCACCTGCTTGCCCAGCTTGGCCTGTAACGTGCGGTCAGTGGCCTGGGCAGAGTTGGCCACGGCCCCCCTGGCAAACTCCAGCAGGTCCCTGACGGCCACCCTCATCCTGTCCACCGCCTGCCTGATGGATGGAAGGTTGGCCTCCATCTGGGTTGGGCTGCGCCAGTTCCCACTGATGAAGGACATGATGAGGGAGACAGAGCCCTCCACCCCCTGCTGCAGGCGGGACAGGCGCTCCATGGCCTGATCTAGGTCCAGGATCAACAGCTTCCCCGGGCCAGCCTGGCTGGGCACCACCGACTCCCTGACTGGCACCATGTCCAGAGAGGAGGTGGACAGGTTGCTGCGGGTGCTGCCCGTGCTGGAGGCAGACAGGCGTTTGAAGCTGACCGTCAGCTCCTCTGTGGCGCCCGCGTCTCGCACCACCTGAGGGGGGATGTCATAGATGGAGTCCTCGCCTGCAGGCCGCTCGCGGGGGAAATCGTACACATCCTGGGGGTCGTGGGGTCCACCCTTCCTCAGACTGGCGGGGATGTCGTAGATCTCCTGACCCAGGGGGGCATGTTGGGCATCTGGGTGGCGCTTTCCGGTGAGGGGAGGGGGAGGGACATCGTACACGTCTTCAGGGATGGGGGGCTCAGGCCCCCCGGGGATCAGATAGCCCTGGTTCTGGCTCTCCATACTCTTCAGCTTGGCAAAGTGGGGGGGCACGTCATAGGTCTCCTCCCTGTCCCTGATAGGAGCGTCTGGAACATCCTTACTGACGGAGGGTGGGAAGTCGTACACCTGGGAGGGAGGGAGGGAGAGGCAACGTCAAACACACACACTTTACTTACCCTCACTGCCATAGGACATCATAATGATGTCAAACACACATTCTGACTCATGATAAGGAGGGGTGGTTACTTTAAGACACCACCTATCAAGTACAGATGGTAAAGCACACTGGGATTGATGAGTCTCCCACTGTGTCCCTCCTCTACTACAATAACAGACAGAGAGGACGTCTTATTGGTGCAGCAGCTGCAGCCTCACCATTTGCTGGGCGTGCAGTTGGCTCTTGTCCACACTGGGGGGCGTGTCATAGATGTCTTGACCACTGGGGGGGCCTTTCACCACCATGGGGGGCGTGTCATACACCTGGGGGGGGGAATACATTGCACAGTGAGATAAAACACACACCCCAAGCAATAAAGATCGATTTACATACACATTATCAGAGATATACACACACATTTTCAGACGTGCACACATATAGACATACACATAAATATACAATCAGCAATAAGAGCTCAGTTACAGCTGCACCAGACTCAATTGATGAGCATATTAAATAAGGGAGGAACAAATTAAATCAAGCTTCTGAGGGCATTTTGGATGAATCCAGTTTACTGTGTAGGAGGTGGGAAGGGTGGGAGGGACCCAGACACTCTGCCCACTGTGTCCTCTAATCCCGTCTCTCCCTGGGGCCCTCTTCTCTCTGCTACCTTTCCTAAATAATGTTGTACAAGGGGGAGGGGGGCATTATTGAGGCTGCAGGCTGAGAGTGGGTCAGTGAGGGTGCTGATACACGCAATATGTGGACCATCTCTCCCACTCCTACACAGAGGACACACATCCTGTCTGGGACTGGCCCTGACACGCACACAGGGAGCTGGACTGACTGGAGCATGACCAAAGTTGGAAACAACTGAAGAAAATCTCTTATGCAGCTGAGACCTTAACCTCAGTGCTAACTCTGTTCTGACAGTTGTGCCTTGCCTGACGACTCACCCTGAATTTATTTCCGCTGCTCTATCGATCGCTACATACATTCAGTCTGAAACTGCCATCCTAAAGTCGTTGTGTGACTTCAAAATGAGGGGCACTATACAAAACAAATTCATCAGCGATTGGATGGTCTCTAACAAATCTAACCAATCAGAGTTTCAAAGTTGATTATGTCATCATGTAAGCCGGCTCTGGCCCAATCCATCAGTTTCTGGGACCAATCAGAACAGTCAAAATGTGTTCTCATTCTAGAAATCATCGGGGAGGGAGGCAAATCCAGACTCATCATGGAGAAAAAACGTCAATTGGCCGGAGCAATGTGGATGGGTAACCAGGCAAAGTATGAAAACTATAAGGATATGTGTGTGATGCCCACAAAATTCAACATTAAAAACAATGTCGAGATATTACTGCAACAATGCTGCAGAATTTGTGTTGAGAGGATGCCTATTGCCTAACCACTTTTCTAAGGCACTGTTAAATTCAATACAATCCCACAATGCACTTCATCCTGGAGCGGCAGCAAGGGAATTAACTTTGCTGTCAGTCTTGTGTGAGTAAACTTCTGGAACACACCGCCCTGCAGCAGCCACAGTCCTGTCTCTCTCTCTCTCCAGCCCATGAAAGGTCTGTTATTGTGCACACTACTTTTACAGCTTTGATTAATAGAGTATTTCACAACTACGCTGAACAAAAAAATGCAACAATTTCTAAAATTTTACTGAGTTACAGTTCATATAAGGAAATCAGTGAATTAAATAAATTCATTAGGCCCTAATCTATGGATTTCACATGACTGGGAATACAGATATGCATCTGTTGGTCACAGATACCTTTAAAAAAAAGGCATGGATCAGAAAACCAGTCAGTATCTGGTGGACTGTGGAATGTTTCCCACTCCTCTTCAATGGCTGTGCGAAGTTGATGGATATTGTCGGGAACCAGAGTATGTGAGCGGAATGGAGCTGGAGCGGAGTGAGGAGCGGAGCATGCCCAATTTGACTGGAACGCGGAGCGAGATTCCCAAAGACTGGAGCGTCGGCCTTCTCACCCGCTCTAATGTCGCTCCAGTAGCGCTCCTGTAGCGTTCACTTCACGAGCTCAGGGCCTGCCCGGCCCAGCATGCATTTGTAGTCTACTTGTGCGCTGCTATAGCCCCTTGCTTTAGCTACTGTCATGGAGTTACCTAAATATTTTCATAAAAAACTGATAAAACACACAAGTGCAAAATCAAGGTGACTTACAAAGATGAGGACCAAGAGCAAGAGAGGGAGTGTGGTGGTGTTGTGTCCACAACTAAAGAATCATTGTGGAATCTGAAAAGACACATATCCTGAAAGCATGATGGTGTACTTACTACATGCACATGCTAAAAGAAAGGAAGGAGCAGGGTAGATAACTAAGTGTGTCATTGTAGCAAAGTATTTATAAATAAAAAAATCAGATCAATTAAACGTTTCGTTCATTTTTGTTCTATTATCTATACAATAGGCCATAATTGATTTTGACCCAATAGGCCTGGCATATTCCCACGTTCAAGAAGCTTTCTGTTTTGATTGGGTTATTTTGCCTAAAAACCTTTAGGCCTACCTATAGAAAAATGTAAAAACAACTATTTCTGCCCAGCCAGGCAAGAGTGGCCAAAAGGGTGTTTAGCATCCCCAGTGGCTCTGCAAGTGTGGAAGGGTTATTCTCCCCTGCTGGCCGGCTCTCCAGGCACCTTCGCATGAGCCTGACGCCACAGACTGGCCAAACTCGTGTTTCTAAAAATGAATGCAAAGGCACTAAGTCATTTTTCATTTAATTTGTATTTAATTCTAATTAAGTCACAGCCTATATGTGCAATTTAAAGACTATAATGATTTAATACAACAAAATGTTGTTTAAATGCTGAGTGCTTCATGTCCCTACCAACCTATGTCACGCTCGCAAATGTTTCACAATGTATTTCTTTGTAGGCTATAGCCTTGAAATAATATAGCCTAAATAATTCATTTTTGTTCCTTCTTAGGCTCCCTGTCTGGCTCCTGACCTATTTAGAGTGTTTACATGCTGTTTAATATGACATGTAGCCTATTTGAAATGATGTGCGCTTCTTACATTCACCTTTTAATGTTTATTCAAATACTTTTAATTCAAATCATATGGTTTGGTTTGAATACTTCAAAACCAAATGGTAGGTCCAGGTAGTCACACAAATAGATGGGTGTTGGTTCAATTGTGATTTTAATGAATGGAGCAATATTGGAGCAGCAGTTTTTTTCCCTGTGAGCGCGGAGCAGTTTTTAGCGGAGCGGTTGGAAAGGACGTGGCGCGCCGGAGCGGTGCTCAACTCCGCTCACATTCTCTGGCAGGAACTGTAACACGCTGTCGTACACGTCGATCCAGAGCATCCCAAACATGCTCAATGGGTGACATGTCTGGTGAGTATGCAGGCCATGGAAGAACTGGGACATTTTCAGCTTCTAGGAATTGTGTACAGATCCTTGCGACATGGGGCCGTGCATTATCAGGCTGAAACAGGAGGTGATGGCAGCGGATGAATGGCACGACAATGGGCCTCAGGATCTCATCACAGTATATCTGTGCATTCAAATTGTCATCGATAAAATGCTATTCTGTTCGTTGTCCGTAGCTTATGCCTGCCCATACCATAACCCCAACGCCACCATGGGGCACTCTGTTCACAACATTGACATCAGCAAACTGCTTGCCCACACAACGCCATACACACTGTCTGCCATCTGCACAGTACAGTTGAAACCAGGATTAATCTGTGAAGAGCACATTTCGTCAGCGTGCTAGTGGCCATAGAAGGTGAGCACTAGCCCACTGAAGTCGGTTACGACGCCGAACTGCAGTCAGGTCAAGACCCTGGTGAGGACAACGAGCACACAGATGAGCTTCCCTGAGACGGTTTCTGACAGTTTGTGCATACATTCTTTGGTTGTGCAAACCCATAGTTTCATCAGCTGTCCAGGTGGCTGGTCTCAGACCATCCCGCAGGTGAAGAAGTGATGTGGAGGTCCTGGGCTGGCGTGGTTATTCATGGTCTGTGGTTGTGAGGCCTGTTGGATGTACTGTCAAATTCTCTCAAACGACATTGGAGGCAGCTTATGGTAGAGAAATGAACATTCAATTCTCTGGCAACAGCTCTGGTAGACATTCCTTCAGTCAGCATGCCAATTGCACGCTCTCTCAAAACTTGAGAGATCTGTGGCATTTTGTAAAACTGCACATTTTAAAGTGGCCTTTTATTGTCCCCAGCACAAGGTGAACCTTTGTAATGAACATGCAGTTTAATCAGCTTCTTGATATGCCACACCTGTCAGGTGGATAGATTATCTTGGCAAAGGAGAAATGCTCACTAACAGGGATGTAAACACATTTCTGTACAACATTTTTGAGAAATAAACTTTTTGTGTGTATGGAACATTTCGGGGATATTTTATTTCAGCTCATGAAACATGGGACCAACACTTTACACATTGCGCTTATATTTGTATTCAGTATATATAGGTGATGATGGAAGTCACCAAGTCAAAGAGCTTGGTAATGAGTTTTAGAGGGCAGTTTAAAGCTACAGCTTTTAGGTTATTGGCTGTATTAAACAGATCTTTGTTGATCCTAAACATCAGATTGATGCACCATGTGCGACACATGCACATTCGCAAACACACAACCCAATCTACTTCCAGGGTCTGACAAGGGACCCTCTCTAAAGTTTATGATGCTGAGGCAGGATTATCTGCTAGCTGCTTGTCAATGAGCGTTGCACCTGAGGAGGAACACAGTATGTGGAATCGAAGACTCAACTTCATCCCCGTTTCTCTACGACCTGACTGCAAACAGCAGCAGACTGACAAGCCAACTCCTCCATCCACTCCTGTACCCCTAATAACATACAGCAAATTGCACTCCCATCTCTCGCCATGTGACTGTCCCCAAACAAACAGATTAGCAATTATAATTCTGCACAAACAATGTGATACAATCTGTTCTCCAGGCCTTTGGGGAATTAGAGTGACAGAGAGTGGAGGCAAGAGGGACTACAGTATGAATACCAAATCCACCTCCACAAACCATTGGGCACCTTGCCAAAACACTTTGTCAGAATCTTGAATTCAGGCGATGCAATTTGTTTGGAGTTGGTATTCAGCGGGTACACTGATCTGATCGCAGACAGGTTGGAGTGAAAATGAGATGGTTGTGTTACTCCTCTCAGCAGAAAAACAAAGACAGGGCCCATTGGATTGTCCACTGAACCCGCTGATTGATCTTAGGCCTGCTATCTGTGCTTGAATGCAATGATATCCCTCCAGGCCCAGCACTATACTCTTTCTGACGCCGTCAAACAGCTTTTCTTCTCTTTCCCTCATTCTCTCCTCCCTACAGCTGGCTCTCTTTCCCTCTCTTTTACCATGTCTTGCAGCCGTTTGTCCTGTTATGTTGTGCCTGAATGCATGTGACTTGTTTTGGGAATAGATGCTGTCAGTAGAGAGAATGGCTGTGTGTTTCTCTATCTGCTCCAGGAGCCTGTGTGTGTGTGTGTGTGTGTGTGTGTGTGTGTGTGTGTGTGTGTGTGTGTGTGTGTGTGTGTGTGTGTGTGTGTGTGTGTGTGTGTGAGAGAGAGAGGACGAACGACACAGAAAGTGGGTTCACCTTCAGATCCAGAGTGCATGCAGCTCAGGACATGCTGCTCACTGTGCTTTGTGGAAAAATACAACCTTTTTCTAACGCCTCCAGACAATGAAATATCTACTTCCCCTGCTAGTAATGTATGACCTCCTCTAAAAATAGATGTGGAATCACAGAGCCGCCATGGGTTTAAACACACACAGAGAGTGAGAGAGAGAGACAGAGAGAGGGAGGAGAGGGGTTTAATATTCCCAATATATCAAATATTAATGAGAAGTGAGATACTTCGCAGACAGACGACCAGTTGAGTTGGGAAGTGTGTCTAAGGCAGCAGAGAGGGAAAATAGCCATCAATCTTGTGAAGAGGATGAAATCACTTCAGTGACATAGGAGACAATAAGTGGCGAGGCAGGACAGTGAGGACATGAATACCACAGCCCATCTCATACACAGGACACCACCATCACTGGGGTGGTCAAGGATAAGAGGTCAAAACTAGTGTGGCTCAATTGCCGATGATATGGAAGATGAGACATTTTATCTTCAGTGATGTGTGTCCGGATGTGGGTATGTTACTGTATCCTAGAGAAGCGGGAGAGTGCAGCATTTGAACATAAATACAGGTGAGAGAGATAGAGCGAGAGAGAGCGAGAGAGAGTCTAGCTGACTCCTCACCTGCTGGTTGTACTGGGCGCGGGTTGGGGGAACGTCATATATATCCTGTGACTGCTGGGAGGGAGGCATGTGTCTGGGAGGGACGTCATACTCATCCTGCTCCGACTTCCCTGTGTCATACACATACACCTGGCCCACCCGCATCGGCACCACCACCTGACGGAAAGAGAGGGACAAAGGGAGAGAGGCATGAGGTTAGTGAAATGGTCTGTTACAGTATTTTGTCAAATTGATGCATCTTTCTCCGCACCTCTCTGATTCTGAGGGGTTGGGTTAAATGCGGATGACACATTTCAGTTTTTAATTTTTTGTCATTTAGCAGACGCTCTTATCCAGAGCGACTTACAGTTAGTGAGTGCATACATTATTTTTTCATACTGGCCCCCCGTGGGAATCAAACCCACAACCCTGGCGTTGCAAACGCCATGCTCTACCAACTGAGCTACATCCCTGCCGGCCATTCCCTCCCCTACCCTGGACCAATTGTGCGCCGCCCCATGGGTCTCCCAGTCGCGGCTGGCTACGACAGAGCCTGGATTCGAACCAGGATCTCTAGTGGCACAGCTAGCACTGCGATGCAGTGCCTTAGACCACTGCACCACTCAGTTGAATGCATTCAGTTGTACAACTGACTAGGTATCCCCCTTTCCCTGTCCCTTTAAGTCCTATGTACTTTATCACCCACGGGGGATTGTATTTGGCCCCCCAAGTACATTTTTGTTGGATATAAAAGACTGTGAAAACACCAGCAAATCAGCTCCAAGGGATTTTAATTTTGGAAATCTGTTCCAAAGTATTCTTACGCATAATAGAGATATACGCTGAGTGTACAAAACATTAGAAATACTTTCCTAATATTGAGTTGAACCCCCCACCCCCTTAGTCCTCAGAACAGCCTCAATTCATTGGGGCATGGAATCTACAAGGTGTGGAAAGCGTTCCACAGGGATGCTGGCCCATGTGGACTCCAGTGCTTCCCATAGTTGTGTCAAGTTGGCTGGATGTCTTTTGGGTGGTGGACCATTCTTGATATACACGGAAAACTGTTGAGCGTGAAACACCCAGCAGAGTTGCAGTTCTTGACACACTCAAACCGCTGCGCCTGGCACCTACTACCATACCCCGTTCAAAGGCACTTAAATATTTTGTCTTGCCCATTCACCCTCAGAATGGCACACATACACAATCCATGTCTCAATTGTCTCAAGGCTTAAAAATCCTTCTTTAACCTGTCTATACTCATTGAAGTGGATTTAACAAGTGACATCAATAAGGGATCATAGCTTTCACCTGGATTCACCTCGTCAGTCTATGTCATGGAAAGAGCAGGTGTTCCTAATGTTTTGTACATTCAGTGTATGTGATCGTATACAAATGTAAGCAAGGTTTGAAATGATTATGTTTTAGTCAAATATTATATCTGTTTGGGCTTCTTGCGGTCAATTTGAAGTCTACTAATTATTTGTAATTATGTTCCAACCCTCTGAACAACCACTCAAGAAAAGATTGTCCCACGGCTAAATCTAGTTGAAGATCCCTGCCGTAGACGATTACTGTAGTGAACACATTATATCCACTCAAGACTCAATCTTAATGAAATTCCCTTGACCCACAGTGAGGAGCCAACACAGCCTGTAACAGAGTCAGGGTCTGGATTAACCCCAGAAGCAGTAAAACAGAATGGAAGTCTTGGCAGGTCAGCATGGGAACAACGGCTGTCCTATTGTCTGCCTGTTTCCCCACAGTACTATAGTCTCAGGGTTATGTCAACCGTCTGGGCCTGGGAAATGAAAACAGACAGACTGACAACAGCACACTGGCTGCTCTCAATACAGAGACAGTAACTGGAGCATAGCATCCATCCAAACTAGTACTCAAACTTAGTATTCAATACATCACAGGATATTGAGAATCAAATCATTAGCACTTCTTATCAGGACCATATCATCACAACATATTGCCCTGCATCAGTGCTCTTTGGAAGTCTATCTGAGCTCCTCTGGCTGTGTGTGTGTGTGTGTGTGTGTGTGTGTGTGTGTGTGTGTGTTTGTGTGTGTGTGTCTTTCTCCTCTCCTCTCACTTCCTTTAATCTGGCTCTGCTATTGATCCCCTGCAGGCCAGGGCTGTGGAATCACACAGATAGGGAATGTTGTTGTCTCTCTCCCAATCAGGGCACTGGGGAAATCTCTGATTATCTACCTCCAGTTACAGATACACTGCTGCTGTCGTCACTACTGATGGGAGAGGAAAATAACAGTCCAATCACACATGCATGCCGTCACACACACACACATACACACTAGTGCTAATAAACCGTCCGCAACCTCCCGACTATATGTGATAAATATAGAAAATGCACTGTACTGTTCTCTGTTTTGTGTCGTTTTTGCCTCAGTGGATCGACGTTTTCTGTCCCAGTTCCCGTGTATTTGGCACGAGTACAGCTAGGCTTACGCACTAATGGCAGAAAAAAAGATATGACAGAAAAACCTCAATGTATGAATTGCACAAGATTTATACATGTATAAAAACATTTATGCATTGTTTTCCCTTTATTCAACCCCCCACCACCCACCCGCCCTTCATCCACACAATATCTCATGACCCTAAACCCGCCCCCGCAGATATAACCGCGGGACTGCAGGTTATGAGTCAACTAGCACACACACACGAGCTCGGTCAATCCCATTTCCAAAAAAACTGAAAGGATCCCTGGTCCTTTCCTCTGGAGCCTGGGCTACAGTGAGGATGTGTGGTTCTGGTCGTGTCTGCCAGCCTGTCTCTTCTCAGTGCCAGACAAGGTCAAAACCAAACATGGAGACGCAAGCTGAGGAGATCTCTAGACATCACTGAAGCAGCCATGCCTGGCTCACTACGGGTTTCAGAGGCGATAACTTCACAGAGTTCTGACAGGTTCCCCTCGTCCCATCCTCCCTTCTCTCTAGACCTGAGCTGACCCCCTCACTGCCAGACACCCCACACCCCCTCTGGACACCCCAGTGAGGAGCGAGGGGAGCGGAGGGGAGGGACTGCTCCCTACAGGCCGTCAATATCTCAGCCTGGCCAACAAAGGAACATGACATCCAGATGCATGTTAGTGTTCAGCTGATGGGGACCAGGGTCGAAGGGTCATGATTAGCATGACACAGTGACAGAGGAAGTGGATCTCTCCAGTCTGACTGAAAGACACTGGATTAGATACAGCCAAGCCACAACCCATACAAAATAATGGAATGACATAGGGCAGGGGCAAAGACACCCTAAAAAACACTATACAATACAATACAAAAACTTCACTGATACTAACTATACTGAACACTATACTAAGCCTCCTGGTACACGATGGTGGTGCCTAGTGAACCAACCGATAGCACCAAATAGAATCTCATAGAATCTCACCACTCTGGAATTCCACCTCCAGTCGTAGTGGCTATGGCAACCAAGCATGTGGGAGCGAGATAGCTGCTCTTCAGATATTGAGTGTGCACCAATCCACTCTCAATAATGCAGTAAGCTTGGGCGGTATACCGTATATATTTGGAAATAGCCATGGGATGATTTTGCAATCCCGTCAATCCTGTTGAAACTATTTATTTGAAGTTTTTTAATAAATATTTGTAGCAACTTGTGCAATACGTTAGGAGAAAAAGAAGATCACGTTCTTCATTTCACCTGCCACATAATTTTTCATTATGAAGCTTACCATTAGTCCCCAGTTACTCTAAAATGTATAGTTTTGTCACACAACACAATGCAACAGATGTCTCAAGTTTTGAGGAAGCGTGCAATTGGCACGCTGACTGCAGGAATGTCTACTTGGGCTGTTGCCAGATAATTTTATGTTAATTTCTCTACCATAAGCCACCTCCAACGTTGTTTTAGAGAATTTGGCAGTACGTTCAACCGGCCTCACAACCGTAGACCACGTGTAACCACGCCAGCTCATGACCTCCACATCCGGCTTCTTCACCTGTGGGATTGTCTGAGACCAGCCACCCGAACAGCTGATGAAACTGAGGAGTATTTCTGTCTGTAATAAAGCCCTTTTGTGGGGAAAAACTCATTCTGATTGGCTGGGCCTGGCTCCCCAGTGGGTGGGCCTATGCCCTACTAGGCCCACCGATGGCTGAAACCCTACCCAGTCATGTGAAATCCATAGATTAGGGAATAATTGATTTATTTCAATTGACTGATTTCCTTATATGAACTGAAATTGTTGCATGTTTCGTTTATATTTTTGTTCAGTATAGTTACAGTATGGAATTCACAACTAAATGTTTGCCAGCTAGATATCTTATAACTATTAAGTTAACTGTCTAAAATGTGCTAAATGCTCTGCAGTTGTGCATTTGGTTTGCTAATTTAGTAGCTAGTTAGCTATCTAGCTAAGTGGTTAGCCTAACAGCAGAGAAGCCCCTCCTGGATCAAGAGTCTTGCTGTCTAATATCTGTTTTCTGTGTGCAGCAAACTGTGAGTAGCATTTTTGAGTTACTTGTAAAACTTTATGAGCTGGGATGTCTGTCCTGCAAATAGTTTAGGTCAGAGACTGTATAAAATGTTTGCAATAAGCTTGTTAGCATTTAGTTAGCATTCTATATGGGACTTTACGTGTACTTGTTAGCATTGCTAACCTTCGGATTACAGAGGCTAAATGGCGTCTGAAAATAGTGCCCCTTGTGTTCAGTGCCGGTATTACCAAATATCCCTGTATGGCACAAGGTCGGTATGAAGGTATGACAATCTGGATACCGCTCAAGCCTATAATGCAGCAATAAAGATCCACTAGTCATCGATATATGAATTCACATTCACTAAAATAAATCCATTGTCAATTTTAGATAGTCAGAAACAAATACACACATAAACACTTGCATACACAAATATGCATGCGCACTCGCGCACCCACACGCACCAGCCTTTACTAATGGTTAATTCTGCTCCCCTTCTCTGGCTCTACATTGTGGAAGTTACCTCAGTAGCCTGCTTGACTGGCATTTAAGAAACCAATCACATTACTTGCTAATGAAATGCCACAACTCTCCCGGATCCTCTAATAATATTTGCTCTCCCAGTCAGGCTGCCTGCCACTTGAAAGGTGACAGCCCAGCTAAAAGGGTAATTAAGCCATTGCCCATTAAATAAATCTGACAATATGCCT